TTGTCGAGTAATCGTTTGATGTCATGTGACCTAATGTAAGGGTCACGTGTCGCGATTTGAGCGCTACGCAGCTGTAGCGTTTGAGTGTAATGCAGCCCACCCGAATGCTACTGTGGAGTTTAATGGATGGAGTGCAAACGAATTATGAATGGAATTATGATGGAGTGCATACGAATCCGAACGAGTAAGGTTTGGGAAAGTTTTACTAAACTTAACCAAAAATGCTGTCATGTGCAATACATGCAAGGCGGAACTTGCTTTTCACGGGAGCACTTAAAGAGGAAGCATCCCTCTGTGTGAACACGCATTCAATCACGTGACTGCACAGACTAAACCAATTTATATGCCGCGTTATATGCAACTTATATGTCAAATTTACTTGTGACACAATTTTCAACTATAAATATTGTTGGCCGTGGTCCAGATATTCCTGTATGTGTGTGAACGTACGTTTGAAAATGCACGTGATGCAGTCAGACAGAGAGAGGTGAGTCCATCAGGTACACAGTGGATGTAGACGTGGATTACGAGAGAAGATGAAAAGAACGATTGACAGATTTTTCATTAAGAAAGATAAGTTAGGGCCTGATCGTGAAAATCATAACCAATGCTCTGACACGGAGCCATCAACCTCCCCTGTGACTGGCTCTAATACATTTAGAATTGAAACTATAAACTTCAGAATTTTCTATAAAACACATAACATGCCGTGATAAATGCACTGCTCAAGTGTCCCCTCTCCCCGCTGCCTTTCAGCGGCAGGCAGCTGCAAACAGATCATCAGACGAGGCCGAGATGAGAATTAAGTTTAACGTTGCCTACAATATTGCAAAAGAAGAACTCCCCTTCACTAAATTCATGTCCGAAATAACTCTTATAAAGAAAAATGGCTTGAATGTTAACCCGACGTACAGCAATGATGTCGGGCGCACCCAATTTATAGGAGTCACCGCAGATACATTGAAAAAAAAGACGTCTGTGCAAATTGTGAACAGTGCGTACATGGCATTCCTGATCGACTGAGACGCATATATCGCCACAAAGGAATGAGTCATTGTGTACAGTCGTATCTTGAGGAAAGGAAGACCGATGAATATATTATTGAACATGTTATGGAGCCTATGTCAATAATATGCCTACTAGGGGTGGGCGATATCTCGATATTTAAAATATTGAATTCTGGCATATCGTACATATCGATATAATGTCTATATTTAATTTTCGCCAATTTGCTTGTTTGCCTTCTCTGTGCTGCGCTCGTCCCCGCCTCCTTGCTTTTGTTCCCCCTCCCCTTGCCTGTCGTCTCATTCAACATGGCGGCGCCCGCAACCAGCCCGGAGGGTACAGAACTTGTTGCAAAAAAAGAATTGCTGGCTCCATTATATGGAAATACTTTGGTTTTAAGTCGTCAGACGAACAACAGACAGATGTCTACTGCCGTGAATGCCGTGAAAGTTGCTGCCAACCAAAGCGCAACTAATCTCCACAATTCTATAACGCGGAGTGTAGAATATGAAAGACAGAGCGGAAGGTTTTGTAGCATCACAGAGGCCGTGGCATTTCACATAGCGGTGGACATGGCACCCATATCCGTCGTTGAACAACGTGGCTTTAAACGTTTTGCTAAAAA